CATGATTTGCATTTAAGTTCCTTTTAAAAAACAATTTTCGGAATTAAACTTCCTACTTCTGGGTTCCCTCATTTTGTTACATTCTACTGAATTTATGTTAGGAGATAATATAATCTATATATCTTTAGTAAATAAATTATTATCTTACTTTGAAATTATTGCGCAAGTATTAGAAAAACGTGTTTTCGATTTCAGTGAATTTTAGTTCATTCTATATATATATATATGTGTGTGTGTGTGTGTGTGTGTGTGTGTGTGTGTGCAGTATCGTAAAAAAACTTCCCCTTATATGAACCCATAGCACCTTATTCGTTCATCCAAATCGAACCGAAATTTCAGGTACTGTTATTTAAAGTTATGCTCTCGATATTGTGATGATTTAAAATAATGGAACGAAAAGCCAAACAAACTCCACAAGAAAAAAAGGAAACCGCTATATTTCGCATTAACTGAGGGTCTGAATAGTAACAGCTGCCATCAACGTAGCTTCTGTACGTAAAAAACATCTCCAGTAGTAATGCCATTAATAGCACTCACTCCGTTAACTGCAAAAGATGGCGAAGAAAAGCCAGCCCGAAAACGGCAGCTATAGCATAAAAGTAGCAAAAATTCAGAAAGCCACGAGATTCACAAATTCGCGCCATTTGTAAGCTAGTACAGTTAAACCAACGTAATGCACTCCTTCTCCTTATCTTCCTGGAAACAATTAAAAACAATTTCACACAAAGGCTCAAAGTTATATTTTCGGGAACAGGTTTTATTTCCTTATTTCACTGAAGATGATGTGCCGAAAGATGTAAATTCCATTTTCATTTTTTATTTTGGGTATATGTTGCCAGCGCACCATTTCTTGTTGTTTGTCTCTGTGCTCCTGTTTTTCTTTGTTTTTATTTTTGTACGTGGTTTATTCCGATTTCAACGCGTGTTAAATTTTAGACATTTTAAAATTTTATTTTGCATTAGAATACATGCTAAGCTCAAATAATAATAATGTATTATAACAAGAATGATGCTTATTACTTTTTGGGTATTAGCTTAGTAACTTGTTACTTGTGCACAGCCAGTATCAATGGTCGAATTTCCGGTTAAAATGTCTAGCCACATTGCTTTTAGCTTTCATATTTTAACCTCATGCGTTAAAGAGAGAGGATTTTACCTTTAGCATCTATTAATAAAGGAAATCTAATTTATTGATTAATAGTAAGAATGCGAAGATTTAAAATGTTTCTTACCATGATAATGCGAAACATGCTTAACAAAGATAAAAAAATGCATCTCGAAAAATGCCATGCTTTAGTTATCTACTAGTTGTTGCGTCTTTTTTAACATTAAAATCATTTCATGCTATATTTATCTGAAGAAAAGATTACTAAAATTTATTTGCTTAACACTTTGAAGGGCACCGGTATATAATAATATACCGGTTGTTTGTCAATTTTTTAACCTCCGAAAAAAATGCTAATTTTTCTACATCAAAAGCTATAATCGTAAGTGTCTAGTGTTTTCTTTCGATTCTAAATGGCAGCATTACCCTATGAATGCTCAATATTTTGCAGTTATGAAATTAATATACCTCGTTCCAAGGTATCATGTTGGAAGATTGATAAATTCTATTGGAGAGAAAGTAAAAATTCAGAATCGGCAAATATATGACGTACACATACTGAATCTTATATATTTACTTCATTTCAGTCAGAAGGGATAATTAACAGATTATTTATACGATTTTAAAACCGGTATATAATATATATCGGCGCCCACACTGAGGGTAACACGCCAATAGATTGGCAGCACCAGTCTTCTACTTTTCTACTCTGTGACATGGCACAATTTCTTTATTATTATAACAGTTTATGATGTAATAATTTTCCATGCTTAATTTATAAGTCGTTTAGAATTAAATATTATGTTCATGGAGGAATGGGGAGTTTACTGACCCTGCGCTAGGAACGAATACAAATATATTAGTTTCATTTATTCTTTGTGTACTCAGCTCAAGTTTCATTCGTCTGTGTTTAGCTAAAATTTTTATTTCAGCACTTATTCCTTTTCCAAGAGAAAGACTCATCGATTTCAAAATTGCCGTCTGGGGTCAAAACTTTACACAATTCTGGGGGTTAAATGTGGCCCTCAAAAGATACCCGTTGCTTCGTGTTTTCCAAAATCCTAGGATGCAAGGGAAATGAAAAGAGGGGATTGACAACCAATTTGTCATTCGGGAGTCACGCCTTCTTCTCTTTGTGAGGTATGATAAGATCACACAAAGGGAAAACTCCCTTAAAATGGAAATGTACTTAAATTCAATCTCATAGTGTAATCACAAAAACTGCTGGTTTGAAAGCATGCTTTTATTCTTTAGGGAATATTTTTTTAATTCTTTGTTAATTTCAGGTGAAAGACTAGAGAACACAAGAGAAATTCGCCATCTGGTTGATACAAATAGGTTGTTTCCGAAATAAATTTTCACAGTTGGTGAAAGGAGGGAAAATAGTTCTAAGGCCCGTTTTAGATGCCATGTTTATCCAAAAGTTGAAAAGGAGCCCCTAGGATGCCAAAGGGGTTGAAAATCGGAATAAGAGCTTTGAGGTGTATAAAATAAAAATAAAAAAAAATAAAAATAATAACGGCGTTTCTTCCTGCACAAAAAAGATATATTACAACCTATATTTACAAAAAATAAAAACAGGGACCCTTACCGTCCTCGATCATCTAAAGTGTGTGTGCGTGGAGGGGGGGGGCGATTCTTCGTATCATAGTATGAAGTATGGTTTTTTTTCACATATTATTTAAAGCATAAAGTACAAATTCAAAAATTTAACATACTTTCTCAGCTGAGTCGTAGTGTTTCATTTTTCAATTTTCTTTAATTTTCGGCTAAGTTACATCTGATTGTAATATTATACTAGTTCAGTTACAGCATGATACGATTTACGCATGCAGTGTTATATTTGCTAATTTTTTTTTGTAAAATAATAATATTGAATTTAAATCAACTTGAAAAGCTTTTTACCCATATTTTAAATATATATGTTCAGCTGGGTTGCATCCCCAAAGTGCATAAAAACATAAATTTTACTTTTAAAATTTTAAATTTCTACCAAAATTTAAAAATTTTTTGTCTTCAGACTTACATAACTATATTCAAGCACTCATCACAACAGAAGCACATCAAAAGTACGCAAAATTAATTTTAAAAAAAAAAAATTAGCAGTTGGCAGCTACCCGTAAAAAAAATTTCTCAAAATTCAGTATTTCGCTCTAGATTTTATTTAAGTCTCAATTTTGTGTCCTTAGGGTCCATAAGTTATAGTTCATGCAAAATTTTACTACAATTTAAATTATTTTATATACCGCACCTGAAAGGATTAAGATCTAAAATTAATGCCCGTAAAGAGAAAACGAAAGAAAATGGATAAAAATTCTTCGATTAGCTTAGTTTTCTTTTATTTCAAGAAAAGACGGTTATTGAGATGAAGTCAATATTGATACTCAATAAGCAGTACAGTGGGGATTTGTTTTATAATTTAAACTACTCAAAATTTGTCAGTAGCTTGAGTCCTACACTTCTTAAAATCCCACTGTGATATGACATTAATAAAAACTTGAACGCTGGCGTAAATTAAATCATGTAAGAATCGAAAAGTAGGGAGTGTAAGGGAAAGACAGCTGACAGATCATATTTAGGAAAGTTATGAACACGATGAGTAACATTTCTGACACTTCTCTAACATATGAGAGAAAACTAAGGCCATATTTTCTGGCTTTCTACTTATCATGACCATTTTGCGTTGCATTTGTCTGCCAACATGTTATTGCGAATTTCGAAACAAAGTCTGGTGCTTAATAAAAAGAAAACTAATTAAATATTAATGTGCTGTTTCACATTATGCATGCAATTTATGCACGTATGAATGAAACAAATTTAAGCTTATCATGAGGAAGCACTTCTATTAAATAATAAAAATATGTATGGTTAAATTTATTTACTCAAGCAACATTACGTGTTATAGTTATAATAGATTAAATTAAGCAAGTTCAGCATATTGAAACGTCATTATTTGAAAATCTTTTCTCACTTTGTGAAATAGTATAGAAAATTAATAACTGAGTTGCGAAAATTACTTTGCAGCTATCACTGTAATCGTATTTGAAATAAGTTGTAACTGAAATTTGTTGGTCAATAACACTAGGGCAATATTAGATAGTGCTTTGTTGAATCCGTTCTGCTAATGTAGGAACCATTAACTCGGTTAATGAAACCAATAAAAATGATTTAGTTTCATGAAATATCGGAAAACTTCACCAGCTTCACGTATGATTTATTTAGAATAATTAATGAAATACTTCTTGCAGGCTGTGACAGATTTTGTCGTTCTGAACTCTTTATTAAACTTACTGTACATGGAGTAATAAAAATAAATATTTTAATAAAAATTAAGCTTTTCTGCGAGTTAAATGTTGAAGAAAATGGCAGAATAAATTGCCAAAATTTATTAAAACTTTATGTTCGTAAACTACTGTTTTGATATAGTGTTATGTTGTTTATTTAGGAAGCGTCCTAATCACAAATTTCAACTTCGAGAGAGACTGCACAAAATAATATAGATACAGCTACTTTTATAAAGCTTAACTTACCTCGAAACACGTTCTATCAGTAATAACGTTTTCTGTTGTCCTGAGTTGTGTATCTGATAATCACTGCCATTAAATTTGCTACTGCTGCTCTCAAAGAATTCTTTGTTTTATAATAGCGTGATATGTAAGAACTTTTAAGATTGTATAAGTGACTAGTACGAACATTCACGATCCAAGCTGCCGAGTTAATGAGTGAGTGGAAGCTCTATTTTACATTTCATTAATTTTCAGCGCGTAGAGACAGACCAAATACCTGCAGATAGAAGTAGATTAAGTTACTGCAAAAATAACTGCAAGTGTATGGAATTTAATGGCAGGGCGCACCGCCAAATGTGCAATGACAGTGATAATATCCATGACACGACTACATGAGTCCAATTTTTATTGAGACCACGAAAGATGAAACAGCAAAATTAATTGATGCAAAGGCAGCACAAAAGAATCTTATGTAGCCAGCATATGACCTCCTACAATTCCATATTTTAAATAGCAGCAAAATTTCAGTATTACAGTACGCATATGTTTTGTAATATGTTTACCGATGAAAAGTATCTTGTTTTCTCCTCTTTGTTCTGTTACTATTAGGCCAGAAGGACTATAAGTCTCCATCTTTAATTTTGTATCTTTTCCACTTTTGCGTCGAATCACATTTCAAATATGATGATGTTGCCGCCACATGTTACCTAGGAGTAATTAATAATAATAATAATATAATATTAAATATAACTATATATATTTATAACATTAATACAATTATATATATTAGATACATAGTATATTTAAAGAAATAATACAGCAAATATAACTAATATAGCTAATAAAAATTTTGTTGTTTATTGGGAATATTGGCATATTTTAGAAATTTGAATGATTAGCAGACTGCTTATATACCATAGTATAGTTAATGTGCTATTATAATCAATATATTATGTGTTTTAAATGGGTTTATTTGCCTAGGCACCGAATTTTTAAAAGTTCAGATGACATCAGAAATAACGGAAATAACTGAGTTATATGAACTGCCTCGTTCTAAAAGAAATCAAACCCCTTTGTATTTGATTGAATACATAAATAATAATGCCGATAAACAATTTAGATTCGTTTCATGTAAAAATTTGCGAAATTTGTTACGATTGATACAAAATTATATTAATATTTTCCCCGAATTTATGTCAGTGAAAGGAAAATGCTGTTAATACGTTCTCGACCAATAGAGGAAACGGAATGTAGCTAAACAAACAGGAAAAAGATTCATTAATTAAACTTCCTTATGTAAAATCTAGACATCATTATGAACTTCCTTTCTTGAAACAAAATTTGGTACATCTTACCATTTTTTTACATGCTGCGGAAATGCTGTTTGACATTTATCTGAAGGCTGTCAGAACCCTAATTAATTTGCGATTGCGAGTAGGCATGAAATTTGGGCTTTACACGTCCGTTTCCGTTAAAAACATATATATCAATAGGCGAGATGTTGAGTCAGTTATGCAGGATATTAACGTCCTTTTCCTCTTGACATTTATTTGTTATCGCTAATCAGCAATACCATTATGCACATTAGCATAACCCCTTCTGCATTCAGGATTATTTTAGATAAAGAAAGTAATCCCAAATATAGTATGTTTTCTGTTAACACATGTTTATCGGGTAAAATAGCTGGATGCTTCTGACAGAATTTTAAGTTGATATTCTGTAACCTACCACCAACTCTAAAGGCACTATCATTATCTAGGAAAGGTTACAAATTAAGAATTCGAGAATTTGTATGTGTTTAATTCCCTGCTTTAATACTTTTAAAGTCAGAACAGCTTACCGCTTGAACTTGTTCAACACAAAAGGAAACACTGTAGTCCAGCTCCTTCGCAGTTAGGAATCTTAAATTTATTCTCGCCAGCAATTTGGCATTGTTGATAAATCTCAGACATTACCGCAGTCACTCTCTTCAGTTTTGCAAAAGACAAGGTATTTGAAATTACTAGTCCTGCTACGGCATATGAAGAGTGTTTCCGTTTTTTCAATGCTTCCTCATAACTTGGATTTGAAAACATGGAATTGCTGTTGACTTTAACCTGTCTTTGACATTCTACCAAAGTTTATGAACTAGCAAATAACCTGGAAAATGTCCTTGTTACACACAATCACTTGGCTTCCCATTTTCGTCAATGTAATCCCAATTTTCGTCTGGAACAGTAGCCTGAATCTCTGATATTATGTGCTACAAACATTTGCTATTGGTTAGGTTCAGACATTAGCCTGTTACGGATTTTATATTTATTTAGCTATTTTTAGCAGAATTTGTAATTAAAATTGTTTTATAGTCCCGTGCAGTGCAGCACGAGACTTGTTTGAAGAGAAAGCTACGTACGAAAAATTAAACTACAGCAGCATGCGCGTTTTAACATTTTAATAAATAGATATCTCGTAATTGTACTCTTTTGCTGTTCAGAAAAATCGAGAAAATACCAGCTCATAAAAGCCGGATCAAAACATCTCAGTTCAGTTGTCAGCCTAGTGCTGTTATTAATTGTAGCGAATTCTCGGTGAGATCGGATTAGCTTTCTCTATGTTTTGTTTATTTGAAATCTATTTAACGTTTTAGTAGTTCAAAATATAACTACTGTGAGATATTGAAATAATGTACGAATATCTCTGAGGAAATTTCAGCATTTTGTTTAATTTCTTGGGATAAGAATAATTTTTGTTAACTTTTTATCGACTAGTGCATTCAATTTATTACGAACTCATACGCACGCAGCACTTTTTAATGTCAGAAGTGGGATTTGAATGCCAATTACAAGAGCAATGGAAGAGCAGTTAAGACAGTTGATAGCAGCCTTTGCTGCATTTAAAGAAAGCTGGCCAAGAAGAGATGAAATCTGGTCAAGTATCCGTTAAAGAGGAAACGAAAGCCGGTGAAGTAACTGTTAAAGGAGAAATAAAGGCTGTTCAAGTAAAGATTGAGGCAGGTCAAGAGAAAATAAAAAGAGAAGTTACCTGCGTAATATAGAAAATAAATTCGAGACTATTGAAGGCAGAATGTTTTGCGTAAAAGGCATATAAAAACGAAAGTTTCATTAGATTTGTGTGTTTATTACCTCCCGTGTCCGTTATGTACACCTAAAATTGTCAAGTATTTCCTTTGTTAGTTAATATGATCAATTATAGGCAATTGCTAATACTTTCTTTACCCACTGTAGCTCAAAACACAAATTACCTTTGTAGATTCGCCAGTTAACCACCACTTTAAAGGAGCTATGTACAGACACAAAAACTTTCCGCTATAGACAGACCACTTTCAGGTTGTTCCTTTGCATGTGTTGGTTCGAAAATGAAATTTACACGTCACATGAAGATGAACTATAATCCTTTTATTGTTAGTATACTGCAGGTTATACGGGGTCTTTTCTTCAGCTTTACATTTTCTGTTACAGCCACCTCCCACCATGAGATGTGCAGTTCACTCCACGTTTCCAAACTGGTGTGATTCTTGGCGACATCTCTTCATTCTCGTCCTTCACAGCAAGTTCTGCCCATAACGTTCTCATTACTTCATTGCAAACATATATAAGAGACAATCTTATAACGTCACTACTTGTGGCGCAAGAGTGGCTATCTGCAAATTAAAAATTCCATTTACATTATATGCTTGTATATGATTTAAATATTGGCGTTGCAATAAATCAGGCTGACATTAATATCTATTTATACAATCTATATAATATCTATTAATATCTATACATTTCATTTCAGATTATGACACGTTAGTAAAACCATATGATGAAAAACAGATAAATGTACTTGATTGGTACAACATGAGTTGATTCTACTTGAGAGTTCATTTAGTTAAGCAGGAACTTGGCAGTGTAGCAAATTACTAGGGATACTTTGCTAGATTCCTATTACAATCTAGTCTTCCACAGCTGTATTCCACTGCAGGTTTCCCTGCCTTGAAATCGTCACACTACACTGAAATGATTGACGGCTGTTGCCACGTTGATAATGCACATCGGGGGGAGGCACACAGTCTTCACCTACTTCCGTATTCTGCCGCGGAATCTTTTTCGACCGCAAAGGAGGGACGCAAATTTTCTTACATCATTTTACTGAAATTTGATTTAAATTCTAAATTTAATTTAGTATTACTAAAATTTGTTTTCTTAGTTTTTGATACATAAAATAAATTACAATTAACTGAACTTTCCTTTTATAATTCTCTTACAAATTCCTAAAGATATCCTTCAATGTTAAGCCGAAGAACCTAGTTATCGTATGAAACCAAAGAGCTAAAGCAAGGTCATATTTGGTTGCATTTAAACAAGTGCATAATATTTAGAAACTAGGAATTTATTTCTCCCATTAACTAAAGAGTGCATGAAACTACATAAGCATTTTAACGTGTTTGCTTGCTTTTACTTTAAAGAAAGTTCAATAAAGGGAAAAACCATAATAATACATGCAATAAATAGCACTTGCATTAATGAACGTAAAACCAAAGAGAAAGTTCCTTCAAATTATTACTCTATAAGCAATAAAGTAATTCCTCAATTGTTTTCTGTTTGTAATAAAACTTAAAAAATTTGCATTCAGTTAACAAGAAAATTATTATCTTCATTCGTATTTATGTGCCTTATAAGCTCTACTGCACATCCTATAAATGTTTATTTAATGGTGCTTGTAACCTTGATGGTGGCTAAGGTAAACTATTGAGGCAAATAATCAGTCTGTCTTAAAAGGGACCACAAACGGTCGAGCGGTATTTATCACTAGTAGTCAACCCAGGTTTGGTAGTCAATCCCGGCAAACAGGCTGGTTGAATGGCCTGTTTGCCGGGATTTGAACCCCTTCATGCCTTTCTCATGCGCAACGCGAATATGAGTTACCTGACCTTAAGTCGTCGCCCACAAATATCTAATTTCACTAAGCCATATAATGCGTCATGCGCTTTGCCGTATTTTGGTAACCAAATCTAACCTAAACTTTCTTGAGGTAACGGCTTCATGGAGAACATTTTTAAGAATAACTTTTTCATATCTAGTTTGCGAAAGGGAGAATATCAGTAAGAATTTCATACACAAAGCGTAAGAGAAACAAGAGTTTCATCTATGAGCAGCAGGAATTATGTGCAGAAACGGGAGCGTTCAGTTATTAGTTTTCTATGGAATCTACTATATAAGTTTACTAGAAGTCCTAAATCATATTATTGATTTTTTTAGTTTTTAATTCGTAACAGTATTACAGTTAGAAGGCTTTTCTGTTTGGAAAGTAGTTAAACTTCATGGATTAAAGTAATTATGCTTTACAGTCTTCTCCTAGTCTGTTGATTCTGTGTGGAATAATTTGGTAATAAAATTATTCTTAAATGGTCATTTTAGAATTCAACGAACATGAAACAGGCTATCGTGTTGCGGTTCTTATCCTGAAAGTAGAAATATATTTCTTTACGAACATCATTTTTTGACACTTTCATGCTACGTTTCATTCATATCCTGCGCACTTATAAAATATGTTTTTGAAACGTTAAAGCAAAATAAATTTTTTTCACCGAATGTTCTTTTTTTAAGCTTTCTTTTCCTTTTTCTGAAAATTTATATCTATAGAAAGTGCCGCGTTGGCGCTTATGTTCCCTTTTTTCGCATTCGCTTCGTTTCTTCAAACATTTTGGGAGCCAAAAAATTTTCGT